ATCTATCTATCTATCTATCTATCTATCTATCTATTTATCCATCCATTGATCTATCAATCTATCGATCTATTTATATATCTATCTATATCTATCTATCTATTTATCCATAACCCTCGGGGTGGTGCCACTGACTGTAGTGTCTTTAGGCCATTCCCAAAGGGGGGACATTTCTCGTTCATGCACAGTAGAATTGTAAATGGGCTGATTCATCAATGTCATGCTCATAACGGTGCCTGATTTACAACAGGGAACTGCTGCTTTTTCTTTCCTCATCCTCACTATTGTCATTTTCCTTTACTTCTTTTGTATGTTTGTCACTCTCTGTGACCCACTATTTCTGGAAAGCCTTGATAGTCGAAGCAGACTTTGTGCTGTTGAAGCTAGAGAGGTGAGCAGAGAAAGTCTGATTCCCTGTAAGGACTTCTCTGTTGACATCCACCCCTTGGCGCTCATATGACCTTATGCAGTTGCGAGCGCCGTAAAACCTCTATTAAAACTAAATCTATCTATCTATCTATCTATCGATCTATCTATCTATCTATCTATCTATCTATATATCTATCTATCTATCTATCTATCTGTCTGTTTGTCTGTCTGTCTGTTTGTTTGTCTGTTTCTCCGTGTATCTGTCTGTCTATCCTGCCCGCCTTTTATGTTATATTACCTTTCTGCCTGTATGAAAGTGTCTCACTCTTTCATTTCACTCGATGCACACTTTTATTATCATAACAAACACCCATGTTTGACAAACACTTATACATGTACAATGTATATTCGGATAAGTAAGATGCAAATACGATACTACAGTTGGGAGGCGAAATCGGAGTTCGTAAACTCACTTTCCTGCCATTCTCATGAAACAACTGAAGGGGGTTTGGGAAAACACTCGATGAACTTTAGGAAAACAAAAACAAAAATACCCAGTGCCCTGTTTTTCACGCGACGTTTTATGTTTTCCGATCTTTCCGCTTTTTTGGCTTCAGCTCGAAATAAGTGAACGGGGCGGGAGGCTCAGAGGGTCTGTACTCTAAAACTAGGAAAGCGTTAAAAATTCTCAGATCGCCTTGTACATTAGCTTTAATTATATTATGTTGGTCCTTTTTGTCCATTGTTGGGGTAAGAAAATGGTGAACTTGGTTGGAATGGGTGTGAGGCTTGGCTTTCGTGTTTTATTTTACATCTGAATATTTTAGTGAATATGTCCTTAATTAATGTAGTAAGGGACAGCATATTTAAATAGGACGTGTTGAAGGGTCTGTAGAAGGTATGCATCGTTGAATGTATAATATGAAGACGAGGGACGAGAGAGAGAGAGAGAGAGAGAGAGAGAGAGAGAGAGAGAGAGAGAGAGAGGGGGGGGGGTGCTTATAAACACACAAAAATAATGCCGTGTGTACAAACGAGCAAACAATTAGATGGACGGAACGAGGGAAGGAATGGGGAAAACAATACCTATATATCTCCATGGGTCACCTAAGAATCTCCTCGAATTTGAAATTTAATGCCTGTTTCCCACTTCCCTCAGGTACGGGTGTATGTAGAAGTGTGTAAACTAAGTGCACTGTAACTGTAAGCTCAGAATGTCTATCTTTATTTGTTTAGCCTACTCTAAATACGAGCTCGTTGACACACAACATGTGGAATAAAGTATTGTTTATCTGAAAACTTGGCTTTTTAGAAATATTCCGATCAGCTGCTTTCACCATTTTGTGTTTTTAATAAGATTATACACTTACCAAGAAACTAATTGAGCATTGTAGCTGTTGTAACTGATCCTGACGAATAATAAGATGAATACCGTGGTCTCTTCTGTACTGGCTGTTCATCACGGTAAATGTAAAGTCTATTACATATTCATTTTTGTTACGAAAAGCTCGCGTACACTACCACACACACGCGCGCATATGCATACACACACACACACACACACACACACACACACACACACACACACACACACTCACTCACTCACTCATTCACTCAAAAACGCGCCCACCCATTTTATATCATGTGTTTATTACAACAAAAATTGCAACACTATAGCTTGCTCCTGTGTACTCAAGCGTGGTTTTATGCGAATTCATATAATTGTCTCTTCGTGGGTTATAATTTTAACGAGGCTGAAAGTAATTAGTGCCTCTCTCCACATAGATGTTCTCCACTCTGAATATTCCCCCATACAGGTGTGGAAAGGTATAGATGGCTCTCTCAAGGTAACTGTTCACCTTTGCAGTGACCCATATCAATGCATCATTTGCAGTAACCCTGTAGCCTACCACCAATAAACGTAGCACCAAGAGCAAAATTAAGCACCAAAATACCACTTCTTTTTGTCATGTTACCTTTATAAGGCATTGCTTTACTACACAATGTTTCTTTGCTCATGACGCTCAAAAGTTCGTAAAACGCACTGTCGTTGAAAATCTAAACGGACTGCCAATATGTCGCACATAATAATATTAAATACTTGAAATTATTTATCTTTTAGCCTACCTAAAAATGCTACCTTCTGCCTCTCGCTTTCATTCACTCATCCATTTGTGTACGGTGGTGGTGCCTTTTCTCAGTCCGTCTCCAGCGAGAGCTCGCGATGCCTTTTTACGTTTTTGTTTTTTGTTGTTTTTTTTTCTCTTCTGTTTTAAAATTGATTTTCTATTGTTTTAAATTCTTTTTTAACAAAAAATACAAACAACCATTTTATTCATTTTTCTTTCTTTTCCCCCTTTTTCTTTCTTTTTTCTTTTTTTTTTTTTTGTTTTGTAATTACATAGATCTAGATACGTTTTCTTTTTTAACTAAGCCAAATAAATTTCAGTGACTAGGCAATTATTTCTCAACACATCTCCTTTGGTTTTAATTTCTCAGTGAGCTTTACTACACTTTTGCACCGGCAATTGACTGTATATGTTTGTTTGTTTGGTTGTTGTTGTTGTTTTTTCAAGTTCTTAAACAGATTACTTTTAGCAACAGCCTTTGCTTGCTATTTGTATCTGTTTTGTCTAGCATTTCTTTTATTTCTGACACTTTGTTGCTTTAATTTTGCCGTTTAAATTGTTTTTGAATAAGTCGCATTGTATCAAAAATCCTACCAAGGAGCTTAAACTGGCGGTTCTAGCTTTGGATTTAGAAGGCGAGACCACGTCTGAGAAGATAGTTAAGGCATTCTTGTTTTAGTAAGCTTTTACGTCGCTCGCAACTGCATAAGGTCATATGAGCGCCAAGGGGTGAATGTCAACAGAGAAGTCCAAACAGGGAATCAGGCTTACTCTGCTTACCTCTCTAGCCTCAACAGCACAAAGTCTTCTTCGACTATCAAGGAACCCCGGAAATATCAGTTCACAAAAGAGTGACAGACATACAAAAGAAGTAGAGGAAAAATGACCACAGTAAGGATGAGGAAAGAAAAAGCAGACCTATGTTGTTTCGGCACAGTATGAGCATGACATTGATAAATTAGCCCATTTACAATTCTACTGTGCATAAGAACGTTTTAATACCCCCCCCCCCCTTTTTGGGAATGGCTAATCACAACTCCAGTCAGTAGAGCTGCCTTGGTGGGGGGATAAGACATTCTTACTACTCGTCTGTGAAGCTAATATTTTGGCACTGTGAGGTACTACTGGCAAATAGGTAACTTTACGCTAATCGTTTCATAAACTGAGTAAATAAAGTCTCAAATAGCGTTTCCCTGTCTCAAGCTACGAAAGGTGACACACTGAACCAAATGTAACAGGTGGTGACCTTGGTCGCGCCTTTAGCGACTCTGTCGTTGGAGACATTCAGACCACGTCATCATGGGTAGATCTATGTGTTGTCCTTCGTAAAACATCAGGAGTTCTTTTTCAACTTTTAACGTATCGGTGAAAATGGAAGCTTCTCTTTAATTTTGTTTTAGATATATTTGGATCATCCCAATTGTTTTATTGTTATGGAAACCATCTGTGTCAGACTTAAGTCCCATGGGCTGCATCCGGTTCACGAACAATTATATCAGGCCAGCGAGAGACTTTTAGGAAGTTCATCTTGAGAATCTTCATTAGACAGAACCTTATTCCAAACATAACTGAACTTTTGCTGAGAAAAGATGCCAAACATCCATCTCTGCCACCTGGCGTAAGAGCGAAAATTGTTATGCTTTGGTTTACTATTCAACTCATATTTGGTTAAATTAATATCCCTGTTTTAAGAAAAGTTTAGTTTCCCATTGCTCAATTAGAATTTAGCAGTTCGGCACAGACCTGTAAGTGTAATTTGAGTCCCCCCCCCCCCCCCCCCCCCCCCCCCCCCAGACCGATTGAGTTTGACACTCTTGGTGTTAATACAAATATTATGTACCATGTAATACGATGATGAGACTCTATTCAAAGACTACTGGGGTTTAGAGGACGGATTTTCCTCTATGGCGGCATTTTAGTGTGACAGTTGGTTGGTTGAGGGCCGGGTGGTGAGCCTGATAGTCAGAGTTAAAACACACTCACACACACATACACACACACACACACACACACGCACACACTTACACACACACCCCCACACACACACACACACACTCACACTCAAACAACCTCCCGTGTGCCCACGCGCGAGCAGATGAAAAGACCCATCATAAATATATTATAGTGCATAGTTCAGTTGTTGTTTTTTTCAATATTCTTTTCCTCTAGGCTAGATCTATGTAAACAGCAGTTCCGCTTGGTCACTGGCAATGAGCATATTATCATTTCACTTGCCTTACTTAAACTCATACATTACATGCATATCGATTTTAGTGAAAACACTGAACGCAATAGTTCGGATATATACCAACCACGTCAAGTCGTGTCCGTGCATCTGTCAGCACAGTGACAATATTGACTAGAAAGCAAAATTATATTTGAATTTCGAAAATACATGGATAGATATCGCTTCATATGTAGACTACGAACTGAAAAACAGCCATGGCCCCCGGATACGGTATTACATTTTAGATAGAAAGTGTTCACGGAATGTTTTTTACATTCATACGTGTGTCTGTGTGTCTGTCGGCTGAAAAGCTTTCATTAATTAAGTATTGTGACTTCTCTATATTCAGTAATGAGAATGTGAAGAAAGCGACTGGAGTGTTGTAAGTTCTATCTCAGGTCGCTCTTAATAAAATTATACGACTAGCTGATTTCTTCCTTGCTCGTGTTGCTCTGGCGACATAATAATATGTATTATGATTTTTTTTTTCCATTTCTGTGATTGAGACAAGGGAACGTTGTTAGATCAGCAGATATCATTTTGGACTACAGAGCAGACAAGCCTGTTACAAATCCTTGTGGGGCCATTCTTAAAGAGTAGCCTAGCTCAACCCATTTGGCTTTGTCTTATCGGAGATTGGTGTTAGGCCCTATATCAGAGCGCCCCCCCCCCCCAGCCTTTTTAACAGTCGTTCTATGTTGAAAGTAATGAAAGAGGCGTCAAACCTGTACCGCATCAAGTGGAGCTAAACACTCTATTTGCTTATTTTTTCCTTCAGGGCGGCATGACAGCAGTTCATCTGGCCTCTAAGCAGGGTCACATCGACGCTCTCAAAGCATTGCTTTTACAAGGAGTCGAGGTGGATGACAGAGATGTGGTAAGTTCTCGCTCTTAAACATCTAGTTGTATGACTGATACTAAACGTAAACGATTCTGTATGTTTCATGCCCCCCCCCCCTGTCCCTACATGTTGTATGTCTAAAGTTGTTTGTCTCACTTAACTCTTAATCTTTCAATAGCCCCTGCCTGCTGATGCGTGTAGGTCTCATACATCATGATACTGGGTGGTTACTTTTTTTCTTTGCCCTTTATTTATTTATGGCGTTGTATATTACATGTATTTTATTTCGTCTTTTTGTGTTAGTTTCAACTAAGTTTGCACGTTGACGCCTAACTGTAAAATTTATGATTGTACCTTGAAAATCACGATAGAGAAAGCTAGAATCATCAAAAAAACGAGAAACTGTTAGTTTTTTTTTTGGGGGGGGGTGTTCAGCCAGTGGTTTTCACTGCCTGTATTGTTGAAGCATTTTAAAATTTAAAAGCTTGGTTGAATCTCTCCTGAATTTTTGCCTATTTCATAGTTTGCGCGCGCGCGCGCGTGTGTGTGTGTGTGTGTGTGTGTCTGTCTGTCTGTCTGTCTGTGCACGTATATATGTGCCTACATCTCCGTGTGTATGTGTGTGTGTGGGGGGTGGGGGGTTGAGGGAGGGTTCGAAGGACACTGACAGACAGACCGACAGACCGACAGACAGACAGACAGACAGACAGACAGACAGACAGACAGAC